AACATTCATAAACATTGCTTTATTTTCCTCAAATGTGCCCAGGTAAAAAAGTCAGCCCACAGCAAATGGACCCAAACTAACAACATGTTTCTATTTACAAAGAAAAAAAACAAAAAAACTTACAGGCAAAATATGGTCAAATTTCTTCAATGTGATCTCTCCCGCATCCCAAAAGGTCAGGTTCATCAAAACCTTTTTGTTCAAATGAGCAATTTTCACCGGCCAGTACATCTTTGTGGTCTGGATGCCTGCAGAGTTAAGATGGTCAAACCTAAATAATAACTTGTATTATGAGACTTTCTTTTTATCATATCAATTATGTCTTTTCGCTACTGGGTACTTTAAAGTACGGACTTAAAAACAAGACAGAAAGAAAGTGTGTGTGTGTGTGTGTGTTGGGATGATGGGGGGGGGGGGTCGTAATAAAGCCCCAAATGAAGATGTACCAACAGCATAAAACCAACCTAATTAAGACAAGGTGAAGTATACAAAACCAAAGCATTTATATGCATGCATATGTATGCACACTGTCAAATATTTCAAATCTTGCACACTGCAGCAATCCTACTTTTCAAAATTATGTTCCCATAACAGACTGCAGATACTCTTTCTATTCACTCAAATTTTTTCACAGAGTCATAAAGATATTTAAAATGTTGTCATCTGTATTCTGATAACCCCTAAAAGGCAATTTTCAAATTGATTACTTCCCACCTATGGGAACACCTTTTTAAACAACACGAAACATCTGCCACCATTCAAATGAAAGTTAATATCACAATTTGTTTTGTATGACCAGTCTTTAAATCAAGCAGTTCAATAGTGAGCTTTCCCCACCCCATCTCAACAACAACAAAAAAGCCGAACTCTTACAACAAAGTCTAGAAAGAATATAACAACTATGACTAATGTTACCATAACATGAAGCTAACCCAAACCACAAAATTGTGATCAATTCAAATAGGGGCAACACATGTGGTATGAAAACATCCAAGGAGCGAAAGTGCAAAAACAAACTAAGTTACAGACAGACATAAACCACACACACCCTCAAAGCTCTCTCTCTTTCTCTCTCTCTCTCTCTCTCTCTCTCTCTCTCTCACACACACACACTCTCTCTCTCTCTCTCTCTCTCTCTCTCTCTCACACACTCTCTCACATACACACACACACACACACACAAATAATCACAAACAGGAACATATTCAAACACAAGCATACACCCAAGCACATAAAAACACACCCACCCACCCACACAGACAAAGACACAAATGCACAAATACACAAAAACATACACATCTGTAAACAAGTACTACCACAGACTGTCCCCTCCCACACGCACCCCCCCCCCCCATACAAACATACAAGGACGTACCAGCAGTCTCACAGTGGACAGATGTCAATCCATGACCGGACAGATGGACAATGGTGCTAGTTTTGCCCACCCCACTCTTGCCCACCACCACCAGCTTGTAGTGGGCATCTTCCATGGAGGCACTGGCAGGGAGAACAGGCCGCTCCAACAAGCCTGCACAGGATAAACTCTGATACAGTAAAACCTTGGTCATGCCTTATTACAATTCAAATGTTAAATTTTTTTTTGTCCAAATAATGCCGCACTTAACCCTATCCGTACGCCAGGGGTCATTTTGTACTCCAGGGGTTGTATTCTTCACATTTTAGAATACTTCTAGTGCGAAGATCTCTTTGAAACTCTCAGTACTCAACAAATTATTTGGACAAACTACTATGCAAAGAGTACGGATCGGATTAATGAGTAACTTTCCACTTTGGAAAATCGGGGCACAGAGTTTCCCACATCGTATGGATATGATAGTAAAACACAACGTACAGATAGGGTTAATGAATACTTCTAGGAGATTCATGGCTATCAAGCCTTTTGATAGATTGGTATTATATCATAACATAATTCCTTTGGAAATAACTGGAATAGCTTCTTTTTACGTTAATACAGTCTGTAATGAAACACAACAATAACTGAGAGACATATAAGCTGCTTATATATCAAAATCTGACTCAGTGCTTCAAAAGTAATGGCAGGAAAAACGATTAGCCTCATTTCTTTTATCAATTGCAACACAATAAAAGGAATCTGTCACAAGTTCTATGACTCTTAAAAACTACTACTGATACTCATAATCACTTTGTTAATCTCACAAACAAATAAGCTGAAAGTAAAAAGCCTTTATAATTAACATACAGGAGTTGATAAGGTGAATAAATTTACAGTCATTGTTTCATACAGTATTCTTCCAAATCAACTAAGCTACAAGTGTGGATACACAATATTCAATAGTGGTATAATTACACAATAACAGGACAATCTACAACAAATCGGCTTGACATAATGATATAATTACCATATGATCGGAGGCGACTTCCATCAGCTGATGAAATAGATCGCAATATCTCTGCTCCCTCAGAGGTCTGTAACCAGTCATGAACTAGCATGTTCAAAGAGTTCTCAAACCAGTCAAATCTGCTCATCAGAAAAATGGAAATGAATGGGACACGGTAGAGTCTACGTTCTCTAACGTTAGAGGATGTATACAAGCTGTCTACATTTTCTAATGCTCAGTGCTTCCAAGCGTGGCATCGAATCCCGGTCCCGGAAACTTTGGTTGTTTTTTTTTCCTCTCCTTCTCCTTACTGACCAACAATTTGCCCCCGGACCCCCAACCAGGACGAATAATAATTGGTAGGGGTCTAGGGGCGCAAGAGGGCCCTGGATAAAGAAAATTTTCAATTGAAGAGCTAAGATTTGGCCTCTCTGATTCTAAAATAAATTTTAAAAATTAGACTCACAGACCAAGGAAAACCACTGTTGAAAATGTACTTTAACCATGCATAAATTGGTAAAAGGAAAAGTAGGCTTATACTTAGTAGATAAAAGCTCCTCTTGGGGACAAAACCAGAATGTGCATGCTTCACCACTACATAAGAAATTATAAAGCAACAAATTATAATTATGGGGAAAATTGTTGGGCAGTCGGGAGGAGGAGAAGAAGAAAAAACACCACAAAAAAAACTAATTAAAAAAACAAACTAATAAAAAAAAAAACTCCCGGGACCGGAATTCAAACCCACACTCATAAAGTAATTGTAACACTTCAAGCGCAGACACACTGACCATTCGATTATCAGAACATCCAACGGTCAGATGTATTAAGCTTAATTTATACAGCATTGTTTCAGAAAAGGCAACAACATAGATCAAGAAGTAGACATCTAGTTTTCTACTTCTACAACAAAGAAAGTGAGAAAGTCGGAAACACGGGGATGGGGGAGGGATATCAAGGAGGCGGGGGGATCGGATCGGCAAATGAGGTCTGGAGGAAACTTTTTTAAAAATGGTGGAAAATTGGAAGCACTGAACGTTAGAGAACGTAAACAGTTTGTATACATTCTCTAATGTTAGGGAACGTAGACACTTCCATGTGACACTGATATTCACATAAAAAAAGCAAACTTAAGGAGCAAAACTGTTGGGATTTTTTCAACACATTTCATTGCTGTGAATACTGCACAGAAAATAACCAAGCAAACAACAAAAAGCTTGTGTTAGGAATATAAACTTATGCCAAAAAAAGCACAATACAAACTTTAAAAAAAAAAAAAGCATTGCCAGACAAATTGGGAAGATCCATTACTACTGTTTCAATTGTTAGTCAAAATAAACAGTTGATAAAAACCTCCAGCCCCCTTAGCACATTCATATATGATAACAAATGCGCAATATATGTGAGAAAGGAATGCCCTGCAGAAAATGTTGAGAACAAAGTATAGTATATGACATGAATCCAGAGGGTCAGGGAGAGACAGCAACCTGCGTGGAAAAGCCAGAAGAATATCCAATCAGCTGGTAACTGGCACGATCAGCAGTCAGACCCTTTCATGGATCCTGGAGAGGAGGGAGGAGCAGCTATGGCATTGTGCCTCCGGCAATGATGCCTATTCTCCAACCAAGGAAGTATCAAATGCAACAGACACAGCATTTACCAGAAAACATCACATTTTGTTCCAATACATGTAATTCATATTAAAAAAACAGTGACTATTGACAAGGATAAAGAATAACATCGTTCAAATGACAAGCACAAATACAACTGATAGCATGGACATAAAGTACTTGTGGAGCATGCTACACAGAAGCACACTCTTCAGTTTGCCAGCCTTCAGTTAGACAAATTTGCTCAGCAAAAAGCACACGCAACTCTGACCCTCTTGCAGGTCAATAAATTTTCTCTAGATTGAAGTGCCACAGGTGGTGAAGCTTATCTCCCCTACCACGCTCTTTTGAAATATCATGCCCATTTATTGCTCTCCAAATCCTATTGATTATGGGACGGCCAGCAGCCAACTCACTCTCAGCTCTTATATAAAAGCTAAAGAGGCTGGTGAAATCAACATCCAGAGAAGTTTGCTCCTGAATTTATCAGATTTACAAATGAAAATATACACGTTATTTATACAGAAGACAGAAACTTTTAAAGAGCGAGTATTCATTGAATAAATACTCAGTAAGGTCTGTATAAATCTTTAGTACAAAGTGATGATGCAACAGTGACAAATTAATAATAAAAGTGGAAAACCAGGATTTCATGAAAGAAGAACAGTATTCACAGATGGGATTTTGTGTGCACTCTGGTAAGAGAATGAAATAGATTTGTTTTTAAGAACATGATGTGAAAATATCTCTTAGCTTTTGCTGTTTTTCGATTTCTTCTGTTTCACCATTTTTTTCTCGCACGCCTTTAACCATAGAGAAGAGGCCATACAATTTTTTAATCAAACTGCTTTACCTAAATAACATTATTTCTGTAGTCTTCATCAAAACTTGAAAGTGAAAAATTATCTCTCTCTCTCTTTTACTCTCTCTTCATCACTTTGAAATGTCTATACTATAACTATCTGACCATGTCACTTTTCTTCCCTCTCATCAATGTCTCAAACACTATAGCAGGGAGTGCATAGGAAGTAGGATGCTTGTATCCCACATTTGAGCTTGAAAAGACTTTGAAAGTCATAATGATGTAATGGTAGAAATACAGTCAAACTTATGAATTGGTTTTACCAATTGTGCACTGGCACAATCAGTAGAAGGACCCTCGGCAACATTTTGGAGAGAGCAACGGAGCATCAATGGATTGTCCGGAGTGCAGGGATGTTGCTTCCTGAAACAATGAACAATGAACAATTTTACCATGCCAAAGGGAGTGATAAACTCATTAGCTTTCTTCATTCAAAATCTGAAATATTAATTAAAACAGTATACATGTCAAAGTTTTCCTCTTTCCTTTAAAACCAACTCAGTGATCAATATGTTACAGGACATATATGACTCTCTGAACAGGTTATTGCAGTCATTACAATTATTAAACTAGAGAGGTCCAAAACTTATCAAACTACCAAAGTTCCTATCTTCCCACACAAAGGAGAAATGCACAAATGGGAAAAAAAAAGAAAATGTTCAGTTACATGTACCATAGGCCATATAGCCCAGGGATGAAAATTGTAAAGACAAAGATTTGGAAGTTCGTTAGGTAAGAGTAATAGTGATAATTCACATGACAAAACGTTGTTAAGCCACTTAAAGAACTGAAAACAGTGACAAAAAAAGCTTTCATGCCTACAGAAAGATCAAATAAGTGCAATACAGATTAATACAAATTACCAAGGATCTTGTCCCCCTAGTATTTCAGTTCAAAATGCTATAAGTATGAGTTAAACAGAATATAATTTTTTTTTATAAACTGGCAATTTGCAAAAACTAAATCACTAAATCCTTAGAATTTTATTTAGATGTCTCACAACACGTTCGTGTTAATTTTTTTCACAACAGATGAGAGAACATGAAAGCAAAGGAAATGTAAAAAGAAATAATCTCAACAAAACAGAAAAAAGTAAAATCCAAAAATAACTAACACACAACACAGAAATAAATCAAATGACAAAGAAACATTTATAACCACTTTTTATTATTAATTCTTTATATCGTACCTAGAGCTTAATCATCAGAAAAGAACTTGCTTTGTTAATCACAAACACTAGTTGGTACTCCCCTCAAAGAAATGCTCCTGTTACCTTTCACAAACACAATGAAATTCAAGACCCAAAAAACTCAAAAGCTAAAAAATCTCAGCTTTAGTTTCATTTTTATTACGCAAAGAGAAGAGTTTATCAACATTATGGCCAATAAGAGCAGGGCAAAAGCATTATAGACAGAAACAAGAGTTGGAAACAAAAGAGATAAAGACTTACTAGAGGCACCCTCCAAGAACCCACAAAAGCCATACTAAAGTGAAATGAAAATCAGAACTAAAGGCATGAAGACATGTACCCTACCAACTGTTCATGTAGCATAAGTGGCTACAGACAATTTGACCTTCAGTCCAAGTTATTTATTACATACGATCTAATCAATACATCACTTACTCAAATGTCAGAAAATACATGTGTTGCCAATGCTAGTTAAAGAATGTACTCTGTCGTCCAAAGACAAAGCAATGTATCTGTACATTTCATGAATATTGAAAAAAAAAATGTCTTAAAACTTTTAATGCTTAGCCTGTCTAAATTCTAAAAAGCTTTTAAACACAGTTGTGGCGAAATGTAAATAATACATTACTCAATCATCAACAATAGCATTGAGATCAGTCATTCATGTTCATGTAACTTTACCATTTTGAAAACTTTTTTTTTGTAAACACATCGCCTTTGACACAAGAGGGACATGGGCAAAACCAGTAAAACAAATCAATCAAACATAAAAACCCTGTTTTGTCACATATGTTGCTATGCCTCTGAACAGCAGAATTCTTGACCAATTTTCATTGGAAACTTCACACCCTTCACATACGCTTTCATCAATACGTTCATTTTGATACTGAATATAGTCTTGCTGCTTGTGAACATAAATTTCCCAACTGCTCTCATTTGAAATTGAAATCATTAGAGTGTTGACTTTCCTTTGAAGGGGGATCATAGATGTACACAAAGTAGCCTATTGTGAGCCACTTACTTTAATGAGAAAATAAAAGGTCATGTAATGATGCTTGCATGTGGGAAGAACTATAAGAACATGAAACAAGACAATCAAACATTGCACAAATCTATCATTATCTTACATATATAAAATGAAACATATACATTTGGTTTTCTTCCAACACTCTTTGTCTCCCCATTTAAACCCCCTTCTTCTACTCTTTCTCCTTTTCAATTATAAATATATGTGAAAAATAAAAGTACATGTGTATTAACTTACAAAGGGACCTGTATAAACAGATGCATGCACATCAGTATATATGTTGCATCATTAAGGTATATGCAGTAAGAAAGGGAGTGCTTTAAAAAACAAATGTGAGGACAATATTCTTCGCATGTTTGGGCTTTGAAAGAAGTAACTGTGTCTCTGATTAGTTCAAAATAATACTGAAGGAAACGGATACAAATACAAAGCCCAAAAACCATGAGAATTTT